GGCCCGGCTGGCCCACTCCGTCTCCTTTGCACTGTCGGTCGGTTGAGGTCGTGCCGACGTAAGTCCAGTAGCCCGGCCCGTGAACTCGTTCAACGCGATCATCTTATCATTCATAGTCCCTTGCACCGTGGCTTCACCTTGAGCTCGAGTGGGATCCGTCACGGGTTGCTCCTCCACTGTATCTCGCGGTCGTTGGGTTGGCGAGGGCTCTATCTTAAGGTCTTCTCCCAAACATTCCGGATCATTCGGTCCTCGCGCCCCGTCGATGTTTCCGATGACAAGGTCGTAAAGGGGGGTCGTCATACATAGAGCCGTAACCTTCCCGCTGAAGTATGGGAATTCAACCTCAATCTCTGCTTCGGGAAGCATCCGAACTGTACGGTCAATTAAGCAAACCGGTTTCGTTTTGCCTGTCAACTCACTTTCCCGTACCAAATTTCTCCGCACGATAACCGTGGAGCTACCGGTGTCTCTTAGAACCACAATCTTCTTGCCTGCAACTTTTCCAGGCAGCGTTGGCCTTCCCTTCGTAACACCGGTTGGCTGTTTTGACATTACAGCACCCACAATAGGAATTTTCTCCCCATTCTTCAACTCTACGAATCCATCGGTGACGGCATTATTATCAGATTTCGATGTGGCTTGCACACAGGATACCTGATGAGTTTGACTCGCTCCGTTTCGACATGCGTCTGCTTTGTGCCCAGTCTGACCACACTTAAAACATTTTACTGCCATAGGGCTCGTAAAGATCGTTCGACAGTTTTTCGCGCGATGACCCACTCGGTTGCACAGAAAACAACGCGGAGTGCTCTACGGTGCACGCTTCTTTTCTTCGGGAGCCGATTTCTTCGAATCTTCAGGACACTCCTTCTTTACTTTGGCCAAATTAGTGCCACCTCGCGCTTCCAAGAATTGATCAGCTAAATCAAGCATGTCTTCAAGTGACTTAGCTCTCCTCTCTTTCAAGTACAGCGACAGGCATGGGTGGCAACTAGTAAGAAATTGTTCTCTAATTAGGAGCTCTCTAAGTTCATCGTACTGCTGCGCTGTCCCTGAAAGTTCAATCCATCTGTCGAAATAATGGCTAAGTCGGGCGGCGTACTGTGTAGCCGTCTCGCCATCAGCTGGCTTTCCTGTCCGAAATCTGTCCCGGAATCCTTCTACAGTAAATCTAAATCGCTTCAGCAAAGCAGCTTTCACCTTTGCATAGTTGGCTGCATCGGTCGGCGTCAGCCTACCGTACACACTGAGCGCTTCACCACTCAAGCAAGTAATCAAAGCAGTTGCCCATTGATGTTCCGGCCAATTCTGGCTCTTCGCAATCGTCTCGAATCGGTGAAGGTACGCGTCAAGGTCGTCCTTCCTTTCATCAAACGCCACGAGCAGCTTGTTTGGGTTCAAGCGGAAGCCATGATCTTCCCGTTCGCTGCTTTCAACTCTAGATTGCACGGGAGTTTCACTTCGCTGTTGCAACCGGAGCCGCTCGAGTTCCATCTCGTGCTGCCGCTGCCGTTCCCTTTCCTCTCTTTCTTCTTTCAGCTGTCGCTCCTTTGCCTCTCTTTCTTCTCTCGCCCTCTCAGCGGCCAGCTTTTCTCTCTCCATCTCCAACTTCAACTGCTGTTCTCTTTCTTCTTTCGCCCTCCCTTTTTCTTCTTTTTCCTTCTGGGTGACCCACTTCCGTAGTTCGGCGCCAGAAAGACCCATCTTCTCACCAAGAGCGACTAACTTTTCGAGATCCATTGTGTCTCGCAACTCGCAAATAAAACCTTGCCGCGTGCAAAAAGTATCTGCCTAAATCAGTCTATCGGAACACTCCCCTGCACTCGTTAACGAGAACACAGAGCAACACACAAAATCGTTCCGATAGCACTATCAACAACTCGAGGCTCTTTCTCACTACTCTGGACACACTGTGCACCAAAAGGTCCTGAGTCGCGGACGCCAGATTAATTGTCACACCGGTCCCGTTAATGAGGGAGGCGATCGCCGGGCTAATTCCAAGGGCCGAAGTATCAGCCCCCCGAACCGCACCACGAAAGCGTGGACAATTTAGAAGTGGTCCTTTTTGGCGCGCCAGCGGACGCCGGCTGTGGCCCAAAGAACAAGTCAGAGCCAAGAGTTGATAAACAAACAAAGTTATATTCTCAATAATGGCAGATCGAAAACAACACACGAGAATGCACACTCCACAATAGTTGCATACAATATGTCACCAATCAAACAACGTACTACACAGTACAATCAGCCACACTCGAACACAACAGACACAGACAACAATACGCACTACAATGCAGTCGCATGCATTGAACAACCAAGACACTTAAAGACTAAAGAGATAGAAAACCTATTCAGTCCAAAGTTCTTGGAACAAAAGTCTGGATGATACTCTTCCGAGAATCACTCACTCAAAGTCCAGCGTTGTTGTCGTTCCGCTGCCCCTGAAGTTTCTCTTCCAGGAAACCTCGCCGAAGTTTCTCTTCCAGGAAACCTCACGTCTTCAATAGGCCACTCTCCAAGCTTCAAACTTCTTCGCCTGAACACGTCGGCTTCACACACGCAGCTGTCGCCACGCGTCTTCGCTCGATAGCGGTAAACACACACTCTTGCCTGTAGCTCGAGTCGTCACCCCTCAGGTGGAAATCCTCTTCATCTCCTGCTTCGTCCCTACGGACCAAACCTTCGCCGACCACACGGCGGTATACCCTACGCGCTCTGGCGTTAACTTCCGTCTTCTCCTGATCTCTCATCTCGGCTGCTCGGTTAAATACCTTGCGCGTGACATTCCAGAAGGTTCTCGTCATTTCGCCGGCGCGATACGCAGCGAAGGCTGGGGAGAGGCGCGAGACTGTACGAGGGCCGTTCCCGACCGATGACTCAACTCGGTATGACCACGCCTATTTCCTTCTGGAACTTTCCTTTCAGTGCTTGCCCGGCCGCCGCTGTGGGGTGAGGAGGTTCATCGGCGAAGCCACGCTTCCGAGGGGAGAGCGTCGCGCGCCCGGGGGGGCCTTGGATGTTTGTTTTCTTTTTTTTCTTTTGACCTCGTGGCGTTTCTCCCGCCCGTTATCGCAAGAATTTGGCGGCGCGCCCATTTTTAGCGCTCGTTCTGTGACACCTGTCTACAATCTCGCCTCCAGCGAAATGCGACCCCAACGGCCGGGACCACACACGCGACCTTTGCTATGGCATCATAAGTGTGTACAGAACAGCTACACAAACGTGAAACCTGGCGGGATTCGAAGCAGCGGTATATCCTATACACCAGAACACAGCGAGCTCAGTGCTTGCTACCTTATTGAAGAGCGCATGGCGCCGTCTCTTGCAAGCGCGGCGAAGCAACACTCTCAACTGCCAGGCGAGCAGAAGCTCTGCAAATCAGACGCGAAACTTGACAACTCGAGTTCGACTGTAAGCATATGTTTCGCGCTGTTCCTGTGCTGGAATTTGATGCTGATTTCGTGTGAAACGTCGAAAAGACCTTCCTCGATAGTCCGAAACGTCTGCAGCACGTGCATTGTATAAGCTATTGAAGCATCACGATAGTTATAGCGCGAGAACAAAACGACGACACAGAGACAAGAAGGACACGCGTGCCGTGTCTCTGTCTCTTGTCTCTGTGAGTCTCTTGTCGCTGTGTCGTCGTTTTGTTCTCGCGCTATAACTATCGTCATGCCATACCAACTAGCCCAACCTGCCACACTTCTATTGAAGCAGCATCATCAGGTACGCACAATTGCGATTGAAAGAAACGTGAACAGCTGAAAGCGTTGCTTTCGACTCAGTCGGACTGTGGCGTGCCTTGGCTGTGACAAGGCAGAATTTGTGCTGTAAGCCGGCGTCAACATAGCGCTAGACTCTGGTTCCAACTTACGTTCATGCACCACATGTGTATCAATTGCCAGTCCTGCCAGACACTCGGAACACACACGCGCTGCAAAAGTGCCAGCCCGAACAAGATATTAAAATGCTACAGTGACGCCAGCCACAAGCACGTGTAGATTCACCTAGTGACAGTCAAGGCATGTCGCAGTTCGACCGAGTCGAAAGTCATGCTTTCCGCGCCGTTCACGCATCGCGATAGGCCGTTGCAGTTGTACTAAACATGCGTGGTGCGTGCATTCACGCGTGAGTCGTAATACGCATATTCTACTATTGACATGCGGCCTGCGAAAGAGTACGGCAATAGTTTTGTGCCTCACACTACAGGCATACTGCACGCAAATCGCTGCTGTAAAGTGAAACAGATGAAGTCACGTTTGAATAAACGCAATAAGCATACTTACACTTCACTGGGCTCGTAGTTTTTCCTGCTGATTGCGATTATATCCTAAGGCGGTGGAGCTCGGCGTTTTCCGTTGTGGACGGAATTTTGTGCAATCGCAAAACACCGCACTGGCACAATTCCCGCGATGCGCTGTGAACTTCACAGACAGTGCTCGGCAATCTCTTCCTCTTGAGCTGGTTGTTGTCGCATCCGATGGCAGCGCAGTGGTACTCAGATGACATTTTATAAGCGGGCGCAGCACTAACAGGCACTTTTTCGCATTTTAAACTCTCAGAGCCACTGCATTACATGCCAGCAAGGCGCGCCTTGGCAGTTGCAAACAAATTATGGCGTCTCTGGGAACGAGGGTATAGCGCGGAAGGCGCCTGGGTGCGAGAAAGGCGTTGATTGATTTGTGGGGTTTAACGTCCCAAAACCACGCTATGATTATGAGAAATTCCGTGTGGAGGGCTCCGGAAATTTCGACCACCTGGGGTTCTTTAGCGTGCACCCAAATCTGAGCACACGGGCCTACAACATTTCCGCCTCCATCGGAAACGCGGCCGCCACAGCCGGGATTCGATCCCGCGACCTGCGGGTCAGCAGCCGAGTACATTAGTCACTAAACCACCGCGGCCGGGCACGCGAGATAGGCGTGCTCTCGTCTATAGGGATACGTCAATATATCAATGATTGCTACAGACATCGTCCTGCGCCTATCGCAGACAGCCTCCATAGCAGAAATAGCTTTTATTATTGAGCCAATGATCTTTCGGGCAGCGATAAACGACGTGGATAGCAGAAGCACAAGGTTCAGGGCAAATCAAGAGACAGTTAGTACGAGCCGTTTGACTGGTATCCTAAAAAAAAAAAACGACGCGAAGTAAACACGGACAACAATTTACAAAGGACCGGCACTGTTCCCGGGTGAATTCTCGTTCGTGTTTACTTCGCGATGTTTTTACTTAGGGGAAGAGTGCAGTCGACGTGAGTAGGAGAAGGATGTGTGATAAAATGAGAGGAGAGGGCAGATCCTCCCTGGGGGCCGCCTAAAGACCTGGAAGAGTCGAAACAACCCGCTGCGTTGAGGTGTTGAGCAGACTATGTTAGCCGACGGAGCTGCCAGTGTCGTGGACCACATTGAAACGAACGTTTGAGCACAACGGGCCCCGGAGTTGCGGGCTCCAAACTCCTTTATTTTTTATTAAAGCTTATCTTTTTCTGAGCCAACGCACAGTCTTATTTGCTATACTCCGAGATGCACAGGTGTCTCTCGCAAGCATTACCGAGGAGGAGGGGCACGTGCCGTACTTGCGATACCTGAATGGGTAAGGACAGGAGACACCGTGACGGGCTACGACGAGAGCATACGCCGACAAACTGAGCGCATCAGGCGCTCCTCACCCGATGTCCTAAGTCACGACGTTTGCTGTGATCACCCCTCTCGGTTGCGTAGACGCCTGTAGGCCAGTTCATTAGAACGTGTTAAAGCTTAATAATGTATTAGCTTGTCTGCAAATATGTCACTTTCAAGAAATATAGAACTAAGACGCATGTGTAGAAACGTTGGAGCCTAGGCTTTGTCAAACCGCGACATAATAGATGTGGTTTTCTATATGAACGTGTCGGAAATACAATTACATCACTTTCAACACTGCACCAGCATTGGTATGGTTGGTCACTGCAATAACAGCTGGCATCGCATCAGACTATAGGTACAGATCGAATGACTATTCTTTCTTCCACGTGATGTATCCGTTCCTCGGGGAGCGTACAGGCGCGACATCCACCGCGGACTGTTCGCACGCCCACACCAGCCTCTGGACGTTGGGCACAAGTAGTAGTTCGAAGAGCAAGCCACACAGGAACCAAAGTGGCGCGTATTCTAGCGTCACCAAACCACAAAAATTGTACCGGAAGTGCCGGTAGTCCCAGGGACACGATCCCAAAGCCTTGAGAAAGGAGCCCGTGGTGAATTCCCACACGTAGATCCAGCAAGTGTGAGCCAACGCTCTGGCCGCAAGGCCCCGCCTTTGCAGCAATCCGTTGATCTTCTCCATGGCCATGCAGGAGATGGAGTAGATGCCGAGGCTCCAGACACTGCTGAAACCACGCAACTCGAGGCTTCCGGACACCACCAGGTCCCAGACTGCAGTGAAGGTGACCTCGATGAGGTAGCCATGCAGGGCGTACAGGTACAGACGCCAAGCAACCGACAACCGCCGCGTCTGCCCGTCGCTGGTAGCGGCCATTGTTGTGTGACGGTCAGCACAATCCTGAAAAAAAAAGCAGTGTCATCAGTAGAGAATCACATTCTTTTTTTCCTCACATAAATTCGTCATTGACCCTGTGAGGTAAGCGCATTGAATCAGAACGAAATATACGTGCAATTCTTACGCTTGCAATGACATAAAAGCGCAAAAGCTCGTAAACTGACGCGGTCGGAATAGCGAAACGGAAAAGCGCTGCGCTTTGTTTTCTCATCTGACTTTTCCGCCATTTTCCAGTTTCTACGAGTCTGCTTCATTTCTTCCTTGAAGGCAAATACACACCACAAAAGTACACACTATACAATGACGTCCCGGCCAGACTCCGTCTTCGGAGAACAGCGGGATTATTTTTCGCGGGAGGGGGGCTTAAGCTATGGCCTATTATACGTGGTTCTTAAGCGAGCACGAGCTCGTCCAAGCACAAGTTATTCTAACGCTAAAAGCGCTCCAGCTACAGCGCTCAATGAGCTTCACACGATAAGCGCCGTTAAGCAGGAGATGATAACACAGGCAAAACAATGGCATGTGCCACGCTCATTCTTTATTTTTTTAAGTAGCACTCAAAAATTATATCAACCGCTTCACGCAGGCCACAATGCTTAGAAGCATTGCCATTGTTGCAAACTACGCTGTTAAGATTACGCATAGGTCACGTGCTGCAGAGTTGATACTTGCTCTGACGTGAGCCAAAACGATGGAATGTTTGACAAGGCACGTACAAAAGCCGACACATTTTACGGATGAGCAGATAACCGCCGACTGCAATCGCCACTATCGGTGCACGCAGCATATCGCTTGTCATTTCACTCTTTGCCCCACCGGAGCACAAGTTTGCCCAATAAACGAAGCAAGGATGAAACAAGAAGTTACCCAATGAAGAGCATCGCCTTTAATGGAAGAAGTTGGTAAATCATAACATCTTACGCTTATGGCTTTGTTCGCGGCGTAAAACGAATATACATATATCCTTTTTTTTTTCCAACAGATGTTGAGTTGTTAGCTCGCGCTTGTCCAGCAGTTTTTTTCGTGTTGCCCTACATTCCTTCGCGCTATTTCTTCATTGTGTATTTATTAATGCGGCTGCGTTTCTTCCTATGTACGACCGTGTGACTGAAGTATGTCATGCGAATGTTTCATAGATGCGGCATTTTAATACCTGGTATTTAACAGTGAATGATTATATCTTTACGATTTTACGCGCCAAACCACGATACAATCATGGGGCGATTCCTGTGGTTCTTTAACGTGCACTGGCATCACATGGTGCTTCTACAACTTCGTCTCCTCCAAACTCCGCGATTGAGACCTTCGGGTAAGCAGCCGAGCAATGTAACGACTGCTCTACCGCAGGACCGAGTCCCACATCTTCGCGTTACGACGGTCGCCGTCCTATAGCGTAGCTTCTCTTTGTACCCCTGTTTTGTTTTGCACGATTTCGCTAAAGTACGGGGTTCGATATATATATATCGAACCCGGATATATATATATATATATATATATATATATATATATATATATATATATATATATATATATATATATATATATATAAGGGAAAGAAGTGTATACCTAAGGGCTCGTTTTTCCGTGTTTTAACACAATATTAATGAGATCTAACAGACAGTAATGCCAAGGAATGTACAGGGGAAGTTATTATAACCAATGGAATGTAAATAAGAAGAAAGAAAAGTGGATGAAAAAATAACTTGGCAAGTTATTTTTTCACACACCTTTCTTTCTTCTTATTTATATTACATTGGTTCTAATAACTTCCCCTATACATTCTTTGGCCTTATTGTCTGTTAGATCTCATTGATATAGTGTCAAAACAGAAAAACGAGCCCTTAAGTATACACTAAAAAAAGTGGGAGTGTCAGCGCCAACAGCAGCCATGGCGGCGGCGAGTGTGGTCCCGTCCGGACTAGTGTTACACGACGACCGTCTGCTTTACAAAAATGACGTTTTCGTCGACGCCAAATGTAGCCTTCGACGTCATCATCTGGCGACGAGAGCTGGTTGCGTGAGGCGATCCGAGCGAAGTCCCCTCAGCAGCGGAGCGAAACTCGGAAAAACCTTTATTTCCGTCCCAAGCGCCAAGGCTGTGTGCATCACGGCGGTGCTTCGCTCTCCGCGTTGTCAGGTTTATACTCACCCAATGCCGGCGGCCGCATTTTCGGCGGAAGTGAAAATGCCCGACAACCGCGATTTAGATGCAACATTCAGATGTAGGAAATTTCCCAAGCCCTCCCCTACGGCGGCCGGCCCCCATAATCATATCGAGGTTTTGGGACGTCATAAACTTTAATTACAGTTCACATTAGGTAAGCAATGCATTCTTGCTACTGAAACGAGGTAAGTCGAATGTAACTTGATAGAAAGTTGTCAATTATTCTCCATTTAATTGGAAATCACGCGTTCCTTTTAGCAGTGAGATGTGGGAAATGTGTGGCCGTAACAGCAACGCACGCCTGGAGCACGGCTCAGGTGCGAATGCTTTTTCCTTCTTTTACTTTTTCTATCTTCACTTTTAACGGAACACTGCACATGCACACTTATTGTTTTTATGGTATGAATATGAAGTGTAAACATGCATCATTGAAGTGGGCAGTTCCGACCGATCGATCGGCGCTCGTGACCAGATTGCCAATGAACGCCCACGCGTGACTCGCAATATTCGGAAGAGCACTTTCCCCGATCTGTTCATTTGTTGACGCGCTATGCGAATGTCCTTGTCGGTTGAGAGTAATGTCACAGCTGATAGACTGCAGCTCAAATATCAATGTGCCTCTTGCCCGTTGTAGCGAAAATGAAAAGCGAGCCCTTCATGACTTCCTCTTCTTTTTTTCCATGTTCGAGTATTCCTCGTGGTTATATTTCTGATTGGCAAACCTTTCGAACTAACATCCGGGCTTTGATATCATCTAGTTCACCATTAGCCTTATTTTTGACACCATTGTTTGTCGTTTCAATTAGCCTCAGAAAACTCATCTTTCACAGTGATAGGTCTATTTAATGTTTTGTTGTTAACGTGGAGATGTCCACCTCAATGTTCACGCCAGTTGGTTGCGTATATACTACAACTTAACGTAGATGCGCCACTTTATGACCGAATACAAACATCAAACACTGACGAGGTAATGCGCCGAAAAAAAGTGGGACGGCGGGCTGTTTGCATGCATAATTTACATTGTGAGAATGAGAACACAGCCAGAAACAAAAGCAGTGTTTTTGACAATTTTATATTTTTGTTGTTGTTGTACAGCTGCTCTCTTTCCGCGGATACGCCCCAGACAACGTTTTTATATATATAACCTTTTGTGCGGACCGAGTGAGCGCGACACCGGTCGCATGCACCAAACCAATTTTTAAGAGACAAAAACGAGTGTTATCCACAGAAATAAGAAATGCAACACCCACTCACGTGTGACCCACAGGACACAAATAAAAATGTTGGGGCTTCATAAAAAAAAAAAAAACTCCCAAATTGCGAGTCTTTCATGATGCGGGCAGCTTACCTTGTAGCATTGGCCGTAAGCGGCGTTCGCACTTTTCAGGGAACCGAATCGCCGAGCCAGCTGTGCAGCAGTAGCGAGCGAGCGGGAAATGCGGCGGCGGCGCCTCTTTCCGATTATTGTCCTCGATGCAATCGGTAGCACAGATCACGTGTCTCGCCCGCTCCCGTTTCGCTCTCTCCGGGAGCGCGCGCTTCGTGCGATGCACTATGTAGTGGACAATGGGCACGGCTGTGCTGAACCAGACGCTTGACATCTAAAAATGAGACAACATTCAATTGACAGCCATATTTCCCGAAAGTACCCAGTCTTCTCGGCTTATGTGTAGCTCCATCGTGCATTGAACGTGCGTGGCACACGGCCCGAACCTTAAACTGTTCCGCAGTTGATAAGGCCAGCGAGGTCACCACATTGGAGAACGCGCGGTCTGCAGGCAAAGCGGCAGCACAAACGTGCTCGGCCAACACGTTAGGGGTCACGTGGTGTCCGCTCGCCAAGTTTGTGACGTAATCTTAAAATATCATTACCTGGGTTTCCGAGTATTAAAACCGTGGCGGAGTACGAGCCATTTTGTCTCCTTCGCAATGTGACCGCATCAGCCAGGAGCGAACCCACGACCTTCAGGTCAGCAGCCCACTGCTCCATTGAGGAGGACGGTTGTGACGCAATCTGACCTCGTAGTTTATCTCTTCGTCCATGCTTACAGGGCTACGACGACCGCCTTTGTCGGAACAATGCGCGGAGCAACGAAAATAGACCATCTGTGAGTCAAACAATTCATACAGTGATGTGCCACTTCGTGTAGCAGATTTCCCGGGAAACTCATCAATCTCTCCGTAAACTATTGTCAGTTCGGAATGTCCACGAAAGACGCGGTATGCGCAAGTATATCTACCTCCCCGACGGCGCCTTTCCAGAGGCCGTGTCGATAGGGAAGGTCTCTATGCATACGAGCTTCAGACACAGGGAACCACATTTCGCTCATCCTTTGCGATAGGTAACTTACTGTAGGCTTTTTTTTTTTTTTTTGGCCTGACATGAGCATTCCCGAGGCAACATCTTGTATTCTTCCGAATGCGCTTATCGTCGCTTTTTTATCGGTAGCCATCCTTCTGTATGAAATGATCTCGCTTTTCTTATAACGTTTTAACTTAAGTGCGCATTCTATGTACACCTTAATTATTTAGAGAGAGCTTTAGGGCTCTCTCTCTCTCTCTCTCTCTCTCTCTGTGTGTGTGTGTGTGTGTGGTGTGTGTGTGTGTGTGTGTGTGTGTGTGTGTGTGTGTGTGTGTGTGTGTGTGCTTGCGTGCGTGCGCGTTTGCTGCTGCCTACTCGTGATATACATGCTGTCCATTTCTGAAGGGATGTCGAAGCTCGCCGAACGTAATCTATCATTGAGGTTATTGCCGCCTCGCGTATGTCCCCACTCAGAGGTTAGAAACACGAGAGAAAAACAAACACGAGCGAAGGCAATAGCCTCAGGAACCGCGATTGGTTACTTCCTCTAGCGTCGACGGAGGCTGCATATCTCAAAGGGCGTCATAGGCGGGAATTCCGGTCGCCGTCACAAGCACGAGTATCCCGCGACGTGGGCAGCAACATCTCGTGTGACGTCACTAGCACAGCATCACGTTGTTCTCGGGCCTGCATGGTTCTGACAGAAGAGTAACGCTGCTAAAGTGTTGAGAACCACAAACACGATATCGCTAAACGTAGGCGGCCGCACGCAGGGGGGAGGGGGGGGGGGGTTCGCAAATGCTGTCTCATACATTTACTTACAAGGGGAGCGCGGCGATACACGTTCGCCTTCCCCTGAAGGGGAACTCTGCGCACGCTATGACTCCCGCAACCAATTCGTAAGTTTTCTAAATTATATATCAGGGAAATTTTAGTTGATCTCTTCGCTCAACTTCATGTCCCCAAGTGGCGACCAATCCTCCGCTGTTAGTATGCATTCTAAAACAAAAGGGTGTTAAAAAGGTGTGTCGTTCGTCCTTTTGGGGACTAATGGGGCTTCCACAACCATTATACTCTTTAAGGAGTAACGGCACCGGGTCTAACGGTTAGTCCCCACAGACAAGCTCAAGGCACTAACATTTAGTCATCACATTTACACCTTAGTGAGTAACCGTTAGTCCCACAATTCAGCTCAAAGGACCAACATGGTGGCGGTGGTAGTGGTTAGAAGGAAGAGGAAAAAGGCACCTAATTTCTGTCTGCCTTCAGGCGACACGGCGCTGTGCCTTATAGGGGTCGGGGGAAGGAGGGATAAAAAAAAATAGACGGAAAATAGACGGAGAAAAAGACAGGCAAGCGACGGGAAAAAGAAGGAGATAGGAAAGTGGGGATCCGGTCGAAGCAGTCCAAGGGCGGGGCGCCACAATGCGAGAGCTGCACGGCGTCAGGAGACCGCGGAGGGCGAACCAGTCGGCGGGAGCTACGCTGGCGTCGGAGATCGCGAGGGCACAACCGTCCAGCTTGAAATCCTGCGAGCGAATCCCCCCGTATTCACAAACGCTCCTCGACTCGTCTTTCACCCTTCACTTGACAGAGTTGAGCAATGTGCCTCCGCTCGGCTGAAGATGGCGCTGTGCTACTCAAGAATCGCAACAGATTATCGCTGATGTGCAGTGACTTGTCGTGACCAGAGACAGCGCTCCCATAGGCTTTCTCAAGTGAAGGTGGAGCGTTGAGTGAAGGGACGTTCTAGAATACGGGGATTCGTCCTCACATTTGCACCTTATAGGGCAACTGTTAATCCCCACATTTACACCATACCGGGCAACCGTTAGTCCTCACAGTTGCACCTCGCCGGACGAACGGTTAATCCACTCAAATAGTCCAATCGGATGAACTTTTTATCCTTTGTTCAAACATTGTTTTTTGTTTATTTTCCGCCAGGCCTAATACTTTTTCACCTGTTTTTCTGCGCAGTGAGCAACAAATTGCGCAAAAAAGAACACGCGAAAAAGTAGTTAGCCACCTATGTGTAACTGCTTTCGCAGTCACGGCAACAAAGAAAGACAAAAGTGAGACGTCGAAACCTTTTATTTTTCTACATACACATGAAGTTTCTACATTCTTTTAAGTGAATTCATGGTGAAGTGTCGTTGTCACATCTAGTTCACTCCTTGTGGAGCTCCTCCGACGGAAGCGATAGATGACAGGCATTGCAGACGCCAGCACACGCAGCCTTCTGCATGTTGTGTTCCCACGGCTGCACGTACAATACTATAGTAAAAATAGACACACGTGACAGAAAATGAAGATGCACGCATATGACAAGTACGTGCACGTTAATATAAAAAAAATGGCAGCATATCCTAGGAGTGAATGATGGAGAGTGGGGCGAAAAATTCGTCCGTCCATTCGTTCTTGCTTCCGTCCGTCCATGCGTCCATCAGTGTGACCGTCCATGCGTCCATCAGCCCGTCCGTGCGTGCGTCTGTTCGTGCGTCCGTCCCTGCGTTCGTCCATGCAGCCGCCCCTGCGTCCATTCATGCGTCCATCCATGCATCTGTCTATGTGTCCGTTTGTCCATCTATTCAACACTCCAAGTACCACCATCTCGCATTTTTTCGTCATATATTCCCCATATAGAAGCACCACCATCCAGCGGACATTCCAAGGACTAAACGAGAGGTGGCACACGCACACTTTCTTACAGCTTGCGCTTCGGGTCCACTTTCCACCTTTAACCACCTCGAGTTCATGGTATATACTAGTTCACTGTATTCATGGCACTGCGGCCGAACGCTCGCTAAACCTTTCGAAAACCAAGGAAGTTACGCCCAGCGAGTATGACGTAGTAAACCTTTTCAGTCAGATAGTGCTCAATGTACATGCCAATGGCTGCTAATGGGAAATGAGAGGCGGAGAATTCGGCTTTTACTTTCTTGCGGCTTGCGCTTCGTATCTACTTCCCATTTTTAACCACCTCGAGTTCATTCATGGTATATACAAGTTCATTGTATCCATGGCACTGCGGCTCAACGCTCGCTAAACCTTTCTAAAGCTAAGGAGGTTACACCCAGCGAGTATAACGTAGCACCCCTTTCTTGCCAGATAGTGCTCAATGTATATGCCGATGGCTGCTAATGGTGATCGCAGCCTGCGCGTGAACTAAAAGCCGAATGATCCTGTCTCTCATTCCCCATTAGCAGCCATTGACATGTACATTGAGCACTATTTTTTATTGTTCAACAACGCACAGAAGAAGTCTCTCACCGGCACCACCTTGGAGGTCAAAATGTTATACTTGTTGCAGACTACGAGGGACGAACGGGTGCCGCTATAAGGAGCTTCGTCCCTAAAACAAGCGTTAAAATGTGACACATAAACAACATACCTACACATCTCGCACAGTCTTTCTGAAGCTGCTCTGACGAAAGAGATGGATGACAGGCATCGCAGATGCCAACGCACACAGTCTTCAGCATGGTGTGTGCCCACGGCTGCACAATCAGTATGTGAAATAGTGAGTCACACGTGACAGAGGATGAACACAAATGCATATGAGAAATACGTGCAAGGTGAAATGAAAACACACGTGAGATATGACATGCTAATAATTTCGCCGCGATGCCACACATTGTCAAAGACTCATTTCGATCCACGTAGTGCAACAGCTTAAGAGCGGCGGCCGCAGCAACGACTCCGCGAACCACCGTGCCTCTATCAAGTCAGCGAGTCCTGACTCAGGGGTGGTCATCACCCCTAGCACATTCACACTTCATTCGGTATAGCTGTGCATTAAAACCTGGGAGTGTTAGCGCCGATCGTAACAATGGCGTAACCGTGGAAAACGTTTTCTCTGCCTTCTGGCGTCACGCCGCACGTGAACCTTTTACGGGCTGGCAGCTATCTAATTAGCCTCACACTTATATCATACCTACTACCAATAACATTCGCTAGGCGTCGTCATCAGTGAGTAATCATTGAATATTTCGCTAAGGCATTCTCACAGCGGTGCGCTCGCAGCTGTTGGAGGGTTCTCAAGTGACTCGGGGCGATCTTAAAGCTGAATTATTTAACTGATATTATATATTATTATCGATCATTGCAATATCTAGCATAAGAGCTATACTGTTTA